TAAAGAGTTTGTTAAGGTACTTTAAAATTTTAACTCTTTAAATTTATAGATGTTCTCCAAATGATAAAATATGCATTTTAAAAATAGAGAGTATCTTGGATATGTTCTCCAAATGATAAAATTTGCCGACTAACACTAAAAATATTTATGGAAAATGAAAATCAACGATTAAAAATAAATTATCTTTCAATAATATTAAGAAAAGAAGAAAAAGATTGTTGAATTTTTTTGGGCCTATTTTAGTAAAAAGAAATTAGCACTGGGACTTGAAACTTCAACAGAAGAAGGTTAAATATCTAAATTTGCAATATCTATACGGGCATTACGCAAAATTGAACATAACAATAGATAGAAAGTATCGATTTTTACTACTTTTAAGCAAACCGAACATTCTTTTATTTGTTTCATTCAACAGACTTCAACGTACCACAATGCTTTAAGGAATCTATAACTAGATTGAACTAGTTTTCCAAACTTGAAAATGATGCGAGTTTTGAACATTATTGATGGATAGAGTCGATGAGCCCATTATTTCAACTACTAGATACTTCACGAAATATTAGCCACACTGAAAAGAAAATAGGAAAAAGCTATTTGTACATCATGCCGTATACGGCCCCCTCACATGTTGAGGGGGCCTCATGAATATTAAATTTGTAAGCCCCCTCATTGTGAGGGGGCTGTAAAAGTGTACAGCAAGTGCTGTACACTAAGCAGCTCTCAAGAAAATAAAAGGGAAATCAACCTTGAAGTCATGTCATTTTGCAAAAGCAAATGATTCATCATTTCTGATGAATTTTCTCCTTGCTTATGATTCATATTGGCAAAGACGATATACAACTATTTCTTTGTGTGCGTATTATTTCGACACTGAGGTGTAAAAAGAATTGAAGTGCACTAATTAAAATAAAATAATTAATTTAAACTTCACTCTTCCCTTTTGTACCCATCTGTAGGAATCCAATTTATGATATTCTTGGCTTAATAATAGTCGAAATTTTCTTTCAGTAAGAATTTGGGGATATTATGGAAGGATTTGGGAACAATGATGGAAGACGACGATGAAACAGAGATCGGAGAAGTTGACTGCACAACAAATAAACAACTGTGTGCCAAAGTTAATATCCATTCATACCCTACGTTCAAACTATNGCTGTTTGTGATATATTTTCAACTCAAACCATTTCGTGTGGTTTGGAATTTTTTCGAACCAAAACAAATCAAATCATAATTTGTAGTTTGGTTTTTAATCCGAGGTTTACCTATTGATATTATCGTAATATATTAAAGATAAGTTAATAAATAAGTTTAAATGAGAACTAATAATGTTAAATGTTAAATTACATTCATATTTACCATAAAACTCATGAATAAATTATTTTTAAAGTTGGTTATTAAAAAATGTTAATAAAACAAATACATCTTTTTTTCACTTTTATTTACTTTTTTATTGTTTGACTTTTATATTATCACATAACGGTTAATAAAGGTAGAGTCACATTCTGCTATTATAAGTTGGTTAAAACTCATTTCGCCTTGTTAGTGAGATGTTAAATAAGAATGGAACAGAATATGTTTAGATATACAAATATTGATAAAGTTTGGATTTATTGAGAATTGAGGATTTCATTCTCTAACTAATTTATGAAAGTAAAAAATAGTAGTACTAGTTAGGGAACTTTAACATTTTCACACAATCAGTACAATCTGTCATTCGTTCTTTCCAAACCACAAACAAATTCATTAATATCTAGGCACACAAACAATTATTTTACTAGTCAAACCACAACTCACAAGTGTATAATAAGTTCAAAAATAACAAATAAAAGAAAGAACAATGGAAAATTTGCTTGAATAAGAATCTGGGATTTACTGTGAGAAAAGAGAGAAATAGACGATTCAAGTAGAAATTGCAGACTAATAGGCAAAAGGCAATTGATGATTCGTTCAATAGGGGTAGATAAACATCAAATGTTAGGAAAATAAGAGTTTATGTTAGGGCTTCTGAAACTTTGGGCCTGACTTGCTATCGTAGTTTTGTTAAATTATAATTTGGATTGTCAAAAATATATGTTTTTTTATTCATTTCATATGATTTTGAAATAATTTTAATTTAGTTTAGATATCAAGTGAGGATATGTATCGTGAACTTTTTAAACCATGGGCCAATAATAATAAATCTAATTTACTTTCTATGATCATTTCAATGGGTTGGTTGTAATTTGAATTGCCAAATTGATTTTTTTCTGAAAAATGTAAAATTTATAAGTTAAAAAAATTAATGTTTTATTTAAAATTTAAAACGATTCGATTCGATTTTGTGCGGTTTTTGAAAATCAAAATTTAAACCAAATCATTTTAAATGATTTGGTTCGGTTTGGGT